TCACCTTTACCATTTTTTAGAACCTTTTTGTCTCCAAAAGCATTTCTAATTAACTTGATCATATGGGCCGGGTCATAAAAGCAATAAATATTTTCTTTGGTAACTGGATTAATTATATATGATTTTCCTGTACTGAATTGTGTACCCAATGATTCACACATAGATGTGTTTACAGGAGCCCCATCAAATGTAATCGAATGTAAATGAGCACCAGTTTCAGTTATTAGGTGAATGGCTTGTTTTAAAATATTTCCACGTTCAATTCCATTCAACCCATCTATTAAAAAGTATCCTATTGGTAACTTCCAGTATCCATTTAAGCCGACTATTAAAAAGACTAATGCATTCTTGGCAACAGGTATATCATCAGTTTCGTTATATTTGGCATCAGTTCCCATGTTAACATGACCATAAATATTTTGCTGCGTGTCAATTTCAATATGTCGCTTGACACACATTTCATCAATTACAAGATTACAGTACACTGGACCTAAATTAACTTTTTTCTTTATCTGCTCAAAAGCTTCTGATGTAAAGCCTGGCTTCCCATCTACGACCATATACCAGCGCCTTAATGTACGAGGATGGGGAAGAACATTAGAAAATATTTTCCTTACATACAGATAAGCTCGAGGGGAATAATATTGTAAAGTGACTGCAAATTCTTTTATTTCCTTACTGAATGGTTGTTTTTTTCCTGCTAAAGATTTCTTTACAATAGATTGTAATACATCTGAGCCCATAGCCTAATATATATAAAAAAAAAAAATTAATTTTTAATTTGATAAATGTTGTTAAACATCAAACTTTAAATGCTTATAAAAAAATGTGCACATGTATTTCTATTATTTTTCAACTGCTATTGAAACAGTATATCACAGAAGCCTTGTATTACATTTTAAAGCTTTTTGACCCAACAAATAAAATTTGATAGACATTTATAAAAAAAAAAAGAACTAAGAACTAATAAACTTATAACTAAACTTATAAATTTCAACATCAACTTGAATAATTTTCTTAAATTAAATTAAAATTAAAAACAAAACAAATTTCTTTTTTGTTATTATTAAATATAAAGTATATGGTTATTGGTTATTAATAAAGAGTAACTTATTACTTAGTAATTATTATAACAGATTTAACTAAAACTGTATTCAGGGTTGGGCCAGTCACTCAGTTTGTTGTAACTGGTTACAAGTTACTCTAAAACTGTGTAACTAGCTACAAGATACTATACTCCGTTCCAGGAGAGAGTGCAACCACCACGCGCACCCAAATGAATTCACTCTGACGTCGCGAGGCCAAATTTCCCCCACCATGTGGCCACTGGTCTAGGTACAGGCGGGTAACCGTCGCGTTCCAATGGGTGGCGATCTGGCCGGTAAAATTGTGGGGAAGCGCGGAAATTAAAGCGTTTTGGTCGCCGTCCAGTCACACTCTCTCCTGGGACGGAGTATAGATACTTTGATGTAATGTAACTGGATACAAGTTACAGTTATGTAACTAAGTTACATTTAAAGTTAAAAGTTGCATTAACTTGTTTAATTACAATTATAATAAAATAATTTAATGTATTGAGTATACTGAATACCTATATAATAAATCAAAGTAAAAATAATAATAGATACGCATGATTATATATTATAACAGTCATAAAATCAGTAGTCAGTCTTCTTATTAAATAGGTGCATGCAACATAGGTAGTAATTAAAGTTACAAGTTACAAGTTAAATTAAACACAAGTAAATTGTTACAAGTTACAAAAGTAACAGAGTTACATAACTTAGTTAAAAGTAACTATGATAAGCCCAACTCTGACTGCATTATACATTCCAACTCTTCCTGAGAGCAACAACAAGACTTCTCCAATATAGAGGACATCCCACCAGCATGTGTTGAAATTTGGAGATGTCTTGTTGACCTAAAATATAATTATATTTGTTATATATTGTAAAATACCTCCAAATTTATAGCAGCATGCTCAGAAATAAGCAATTTATTTTTTAATTCATTTATTATATCCAGCAGCGAAGATACTTTATTTTTGAGACGTTGGTTTCTTTGACTCAATACTTTATTTCTTCGACGAATATTTTTAACAGTTGTTCTTACTAAGCAAAGATTTTTTTTTCTTCTTTTGGGAGTTGAAAAATCTTCATCACTTAAATCTCCTAATCGGCTGGGATTCCAAATCCTTTTTTTTCTTGGTGGAGTTATCACTTCTACATCTGTGCAGAGATTAAACAGAGGTGGCGGGGAAGTTTTAACAACGTTTACATTTTCATAACTGAAATTAAAGCATCATATTAGATATTGTTAATTAAATAGCTGTAAAATCTATACCATTTTGTCCTAGAACTAGATGGTGAACTATCATACACATCAACAACGTTTACATTTTCATAACTGAAATTAAAGCATCATATTAGATATTGTTAATTAAATAGCTGTAAAATCTATACCATTTTGTCCTAGAACTAGATGGTGAACTATCATACACATCAACAACGTTTACATTTTCATAACTGAAATTAAAGCATCATATTAGATATTGTTAATTAAATAGCTGTAAAATCTATACCATTTTGTCCTAGAACTAGATGGTGAACTATCATACACATCAACAACGTTTACATTTTCATAACTGAAATTAAAGCATCATATTAGATATCGTTAATTAAATAGCTGTAAAATCTATACCATTTTGTCCTAGAACTAGATGGTGAACTATCATACACATCAACAACGTTTACATTTTCATAACTGAAATTAAAGCATCATATTAGATATTGTTAATTAAATAGCTGTAAAATCTATACCATTTTGTCCTAGAACTAGATGGTGAACTATCATACACATCAACAACGTTTACATTTTCATAACTGAAATTAAAGCATCATATTAGATATCGTTAATTAAATAGCTGTAAAATCTATACCATTTTGTCCTAGAACTAGATGGTGAACTATCATACACATCAACAACGTTTACATTTTCATAACTGAAATTAAAGCATCATATTAGATATTGTTAATTAAATAGCTGTAAAATCTATACCATTTTGTCCTAGAACTAGATGGTGAACTATCATACACATCAACAACGTTTACATTTTCATAACTGAAATTAAAGCATCATATTAGATATCGTTAATTAAATAGCTGTAAAATCTATACCATTTTGTCCTAGAACTAGATGGTGAACTATCATACACATCAGAAATCATTAAACACGGACTACTTATTGATATATTATCAGCATAACTATGTTCCTCCATCAATTTAAAATATCTAAAAAGTAAAAAAAATGTTTTAAGTAGATTTTTAATATGTTCATTTTTTAAGAATCTTAACCTGGTTGGTACTGCAGTTTTTTGGAGAATATTACGATTGTTGCTAAATATAAAATCATTAGCACTAAAATGTGCACTACAAACTTTCTTCCAATTTGGTATTGATGTTAAATTAAGTGCATTAAGCCACACAGTTTTTTTAGATATATCTTTTGGAAAACTAAAAATAATGTATTGTAATTACTTATTATGTTCACTAAAAATATGTAGGTAGTTAGGTATACTATATGCATACTTACAAATGAAAAGAAACGTTTTTATTATTGTTGCTGGTATTGCAGCACACACAACAAACTTGCACCATTGTTCAATGTGGCAATTTAAATAAAAAATAATCCAACTTGAAACTATACAAGAAATTGAAAAATATAGGTACTAGTTACAAGTTACAGCAAATTTCAAAAGTAATTTTCAGTTTATTTTATTATCTAAGGATGTTATCTATTTCAATTTTTATATTTGAACATAACCTCACAAAGTCGCCAAGTGCGGGAGTGAGAAACTGCCTTCTCTCTCTTACTTAAAAGACCGCGACCACTTGCGTTGTATGATTTAACATGGCCTATCCATTCTTCTATTATCTAT